CTAGGGTGCAGATTTTTTAGAGATGCCCGCTTACCTAGCTATCTATCTATCGATCTATCTATCTATCTATCTGTCTATCTATCTATCTGTCTATCTATCTATCTATCTATCTATCTATCTATCTATCTATCTATCAGTGTAAATTATTGAGAGATGGCCTTCTCTACGTGGATGGCTTGTTTCTTGCAGTGGAGGTCAGCGGCCAGAAGTTTTTGCCCGGGGCCTCGCATGTTCGCATCCGTAGGGTTAGGGTTCAGGGTTTCTTCTGGAGATTGTGCCGAAATGGGTCACTTGGATCCAGTTGGAGCTCTTTGGGGTTATTCTGGACTTTTACATGCATGAAGATCGTTCCATATGGAATTCTTCTCACGATCTTCCCCACGCCTTGCCGTGTTGCCTGAGAGGGAGCCCAAATCAAAGGGCCCCAAAAACCAGCTTCCCGAGCTCCCCGCGCCTCAGCTCGAAGTCCGGAAGCTTGACGGGCTTGGTGCTTTACTAAGGTTTAGGGTTTAGGGTTTAGGGTTTAGGGTTTTGGTACGCGCATATTCATCGATACTGTAACTGTCAGTGAGTCAGTATTGAACAGAAGGTGTTCAAGTTCAGAACTGTAGATGGCCCTGCTGAGGTACTTCAAGAATGGCGCGGCTCTCCTGGAGATTGCACTCGTTCAGTGGGCTCTGCATCAGGACTGCCCGGAGTTCAATTTCTTTCTTATTGCATGTGTATTGCTGAATTATCTAAGGGGGTCGAGTTCTTTGGGTAGCTCTGGGATAGCCATAAGCCCTAAACTCTACTAATGTAGGGCTTCGAGGCTTTACAGCGGCGTTGGGTTTATAGGATACAGCAAGAAATGTGGACATAGCTGTCCAGGGGGTTCTGGACAAAGCAGACGTTGCTTCTAGGGGTCGGGGCTTATGGTTGTTATGGCTTAAGGCGCTTAAGGGCTGTATGGCACTGAATGCATCGTTAAGTTTGCCCCCAGCCGGGTTCGAGACAGCCCATGCGACACCAAAGCTTCCAACAAAGCAGTGCGTCGTTGCTGCCGATTGCAGTCACCTAGTCGAAGGGACCCTAGACTTCTTGCAGTTTCCGTGTGTCCTGGTCCAAGAGTCCAGCCCAAAGAAAGCTCCCTAAACCCTAAACCCTAAACAAAAAACCCTGATACTGTGGCGGAGGCCGTGAAGCGTGGCTTCCAGCCCTTCATCCCGCCAGACTTGGTCAGGGCAAGGGTCCGAGAACGGGTGGAAGGGGTAATATAGGGTTTAGGGAGTTTAGGGGTTTGGGTGTAGCATGCTTGGGGTTTAGGGTTTAGGGTAGTACAGGGGGCCTGAAGAATTACCATTGCCAGGCCTTAGGGCCTTAGGGCCTTAGGGCTCCTTCTTTCTAGTTCTAAGATGATCTGCCCCGAAGAATTCTGTTCTCATGATGTTGAGACCCCAACATGAGGTGTCGGGTTGAGGTTTTTCGGAGTTCGTGGGTAAGAAGTTTGGGATGAGGTCGGGCCGGAGCCTGGCAGTCTATGTTTTCGTTACGGGGGCAGCGCATCGAAGGCTTGTTAGTTGTACTGCCCCAAAGCCCTCCTCGCCTGCCTTTTTGTGCGAGTTGCGAGGGTCCAAGGCCCTATTCTGGACGTTAAGGCCATTCTATGCCAGCCGAGCCGAGGCTCCTGTTGTGGCGGGCTGTGGATTTGCCCCCCGCGATGATGAGGCCACGCAGATGCTAGGCAGCAATATGATCGTCGAGCTTCGACGAATGTACGATGGGAGTCAGCAAGCAGGCTTACGGCGGGGGGTGTCTCAAATAGCTACCAAATCGCCACTCCGCTTTCAGCAGATGCTTCCGGTGCAGGATGCCATGAACTCTGCAGTCTGCGTTGGTTGGTGGTTGTCGAAGTCAGTATGAGATGACCTTCTTTCCGGCGTGGTCTTGATGCCAAGGATCTATGAGGTCAGCAGGAGCCCAAGAGTCTGGCATCTGTCATGTGGTCGAAAACCTCAACTTCCACAGCCATCAGGGGTTAGCCCGTCGCTGCGGCAGGATATCACACTATAAATAGCTGTATTTAGTGTATTATGCCATAATGAGTTTTAATAAACGCTAAGGAACTACAACATATCATAAGATGAGAGTTCTCAGACCTCACACCCCCGGAACGCTCGAGCTATGAGCTGAAACGACGCAGAGGTGACTCGGACCTTTGCCTGGCGGGCACAGCTGAGATCCCCATGGCAGGTGGGGTTTTGGGGTTAAGGTCTGTAGATGAAAGGGCCCTTAGTTTCTGGTTCTGAGGGGATTTTGGGGGAGAAAGGATGCAAGGCTTTGAGGATGTACGGTTTAAGTGCAATCAGGGTTTAGGGTCTCGGGTTGGTTTCTGGGTTCTGTAAGGTTCGGAGGGTGGGTGCATGGCTTCAAGTCAAGAATATTGGAGTTGGGGGTTTGGGTGCTACAGCGGCATCTCGTCTGCCACGAGAGGCCCTTTCTAACGTAAGACGTGCGCTTGGGAGGCGTAGACTGTGGCATGCCGGGCAGGATTTCTGTACGAGATTTTTGCATTCAGATGGCCATGCCGCACACATGCTTTTTGAGTCAGTCTGGGTGTAAGCTGCATTATGTACTACAGCATTGCCCTGCGTTTCAGCTTTGCGCCGTGGGACGGGGCTTGTGGTCTTGTTTGTATCCTACAAGATTTTGATTTTGAGATCTTCCAGGTTCTCCTCTTCCCGTGTATAATCCATATATATATATATACAGTTATATATACACACATATATATATATATATGTGTGTATATATATATATATGTATCTACAACAAGGCCGTCAATCTGGACATGTATTGACAGCTTTCCGGCTATTTCCTAAATCAGCCGCCCTGAATCCGTGCCTGCTTTGAGCGAGCCTGCGAGTCGACACCCAAAGCCTAAAAACATAAGCTTTTAAACTCTAAACCCTAAACGTAATAATCTAACCAGGCTTGTCCCGTTGCGAGTGCTGAAACCCTAAATCTAAAGCCCTAGAGCTCTTAAAGCTTAAGGCCCTTATCGCTCACAAAATCCTAGGCAAAGAGACATCAGTGCCTGGTGTCCAGGCATGTTCATGAATGACACCCTCATCGCCTCAAAGGATCGCCTTTGGCTTTCGGGTTTGGGGGTTCATGGTTAACTACCAGGCGTTCTTGCGCGCAAGCCTGCCGCAAAGCGGTTCAGGGTTGAGCAGATATGTGATTGTGGTCAAGTCTTCGCCCGGCAGAGTCGCAGCAGGGCAGTTGCAAACGGGTTGAGCAGATGTACATCGTAGTCTACGAAGCCTCCTGTTGAAGCAGCAGATCCTGCACGGTTTGGGGGTTTAAGGTTTAACGCTTGCAAGAGTCCTGGATGCAAAAGGGTTAAACCTCAAAAAGAGTGGAATATCCTAAAATCCTAAAACCTGAAACTACCCATTCGGCTGCGAAAGACAAGACTCTTTCATCAGACCACGGTCAAGCACAGTGAACTGGCACCTCTGAATTCAGAATGCGCGATCTTTGACAACCCCCTAGAGACTCCCCAAAACCTTTAATTAAGGAATATGCCTTAGATTGCAATATGTCCCTTTTATATGATTTCAGGTATATTCCTGAATTCAGGGGTTTAGGAGTCCCTGGGCCCCTGTTTCTGGTAGAGACTTCGGAGTTCCTGACCAGCCATCCCCCACCTCAATTCTTCATTAGGGTTTATGGTTTAGGGTTTAGGGTTTAGGATTTAGGGTTTTAGGGTTTAGGGTTTAGGGTTACCCAGACCCAGAGTCTGACCCATGGTACGGAGACCAGATCCTGATTTCTACGTCTCCGCTTATCCCGACTGGAGCCTTGTTTCCCATCCGCTTGAGGGGTTGTAAGGTGCCCTACACCCTAATCCCTAAACCCTTTGTGTGGATCCTTGCCTGCCTGGTGCGATCGAGTGAGAGTCGAAATCCTTTTGCATCGTCTGCGTCGTAGTCGCCAGCACTGCGCTGCGACTGCGCAGGAGCTCCCCAAGCGCCTCGTGGCCTTCGGCCACGCTTTCCGGACCGAGGCTCGGAGATCTGGAGAAGTGATGTTCGTAGAGGGGCAGTCAGAATTAGTAAGGCTAGTGTGCCTGAATTGGGACTCGAGAAGGGTCTCTCTGGTGCTTGAATCCTCCCCAAACCTCGCCGAGCGCGAGTGCCAAAAAAGGCTATCCCCTTACAGTGACTGTATCTTTGTGCCCCATATTTTTTGGAGTCTGGGGTATGGGGCGCCGGGGCTTTGAGTTTAGGACTGACGAGGTTTTGAGGATTCGGGGTGGTTTGGGGCAAAGTTTGGCGGCGAGTGTCGGTCCTCGGGCTCGGGGTTTCGTAGGAGTTGGCTCCTCATTTTAGTTCAGGGTGTAGGGATTAGGGTTAGGGCCCCGTTTTTTTTCTGGAACAGCGTACCTTTCTCTTGGCTCGGCTCGGCCTGCTTGAACTTGGCCTAGCCTGTTGTTTCCCGGGGCGCGACTCGATTTTGGGCTTGGCTGGGCTAGGCTTGGCCGTGTTGACATAGACATGCACACTAGCAGCTTAGCCATGAATGGATGTTCACATATAAATGAATATGTACACCTCCTCTTCAGAACTAAAGGCCAAGCCAAGCCGCAATGAAGGCCGAGCTGCACCTACGAAAAATCACTTTTCCGCCGCCATGCCACTGACCTTCAATTAAGCACAGCTTGAGGACTTTGGGTATTGCTTTGGCTCTACACAAGAATAGAGCTCTACTAGTCACATGGTTGAGGCCACTTGGAGGAGTGTGCGCAGCGGCTCGAAAATTTACCTGTAGAAGCCGAAGATTTCCTTAAAGACCGGCCAGAGCTGCATCGCGGCCGCAACTTGACAACTCACTGCTGAATATCGGAGTCCCAATACCTCTATCATGACATTGTAGCCCCTCATTCAACAATGTTTGAAGATTGGTCCCGCACTTTCTCGACTTCAGCTTGGAAAGTAAAGAGCCGTGAGAGGCGGGCTCTTCGGGCTCGGAGAACCGGGGCATCTACCGGCTGCACCAGTTCAGCAAGGTCCCTCCGAGGGCACCATGCGTTTTGGGCTTCTGGGTTTATAGGGTATCCGAGGTGTTGTCGTGCTGCGATTTCAGGGAGCTGAGTCTAGAGTGGTCAAGGCCTCTGCACAACACCCTTTGGGCATTAGGGTGCCCGATACCCTTGTAGGTGTTGGGGCCTGGAAAGTAGGTTGGAATTTTAGTTTGGACATCTGCTCCCAAACTGGGTGGCCGCACCGGCACCACCGCCCCCTTTGCAATACCCTGGGCAGGAGCATTCGCTTTTTACTGCACATGAAACAAAATCCTGTCTGTGGATACCAGTCTCATTTCTTGCGCAGACCCGAGAATGCCTTGCCTTGCTAGGTGGAGCTGTTTGCAGTTACGCGGGCCGACATAGATGAGCGAGGGCCTGAAGTGCAGCGGCCAGCAAGGGAAGTTATTGGGGCCTTCGGGGCTATAGTATCGAATCAGTAGTTACTGGATATACATAACAATACTAAGAAGAGGATTGGGAGAGTACATCGCAAGTAAAACATATTAATGGGTTTGGTATAGTCAAACGTCAATGTCACAGCCGATCTTGCCTGTGCTGCGTTGGCAGCGTCACCATATTGTACATCGGATTTTTCAGGTTATTGCAAGTCTCATTATTATTAGTACGGTTGAATGTGCTCGTAAACCCTGAATCCCGACATCCTTAAACTCCTGAAACCCAGCAAAACCTGAAGTCTGGGTGAGCTGCAGGTCCAACAAGATGCTCGACGAGATTCGGGAGCTCGAGGCTGCAGTCATTGCGGTGTGCATTTGGCGAAGTAGAAGCAACGAAGGGAACTTGGGCAATAACGACAAGACTAGTAGGAGTTAAGGTTAGAGTAAGAAGGAGTAGTGGTCGTCTTGAAGAACATGAGCCGCAACTCGGGCAGCAGCCGTAGAGCTAACGGCTCTATGTAATGGTGGCGGCGGTGGCGGTGGTGGTGCCTTTCTGCTTGTCCTCGTAGTAGAAGTCGTCATAGGAGTAGTAGGCATAGCGTGAGTATATAGGAGGTGGCAGCAGTAGCAGAAGCAAATCGGAGCAGGGGAGACTGGTAGCAGTTGTGGTGGTCCTCGTTTTCCCGTTCTATACGCAGGATGCATGGCTCAACGGGAAATTTCACGTCACGATCTTTCTTGAACGCTCAGACTGCCCCCCTGCATCCTCAGGCAGCCAGAGTCAAAGCTCGGGTACCCGCAACCCCCAAGCAGAACCTTCTCCCAAATGATCACGATTTGTAGTTAGTACAACTCCCCAACAGCCACACGTTCAACTTTGAGGAGGACCTCTTCACACAGCTGGGCCTTTGCTTCCGTGTCTTGGACATGCTTCTTTGGCAGCAGCGATGACTGGCTTTGGGGAATCAGGCTTTCGGAAGATTTGAACCAATGAAAGAAATTTAGTCATGACTCAAAATCACCCACGTTCAAACGCAAAACACACATAATATGTACAGTGAGATTAGATATATATGACCTTAGATATGCACCGCTTACACACCCGCCTGAGGCACTGAGCTAGTTGGTTGTATCACGTGGCTTTTTCAGCGAGTCCGTCGGTTCACATGTTTCGTTCCATTCAGGGCCGTACTTGCGCGATCCAACATTTCTAAACTGGACAGACACCCCCGCTGTTTGCCCATGGGCATGTGAAATCCTAAACTCAGAGCCCCAGCCCCTCAACGCTTCGAAGCCCAAGGCCAACAGAGGAGCTGGGGGCCCCGGCCTACCGGAAGTTTGACATGGAGGCAGGGCCTTTTGCCAGGGCTCGGTGGTTCGGTTTCGGGGCTTTCATTGAGTCCGTCCCAAAGTCCCAAAGACATGCGTCTCATCTCCGGGTAGCATAGCTTGGAATGGACCCACTGCATGTGGATGCGACGAGTCCTACGGAGCCACAGGCACCACTCCCGAATTGATCTCTACACTACCACTGGCACTCGACTATGTCCCAAGGTTTGCGTAAAGTTCACTGCACTCTGAGACACTGGGTCAGGACAAATCGAGACGAGCTTGCTGTCGATCTGTTTCATCTATGAACCTATTTCAGGCTTAAGATGAAGCACTTTTCTACGTTCAACACCGATTTTCTGTGCGGAAGTGCGCACCGAGCCCAAGACGAAGCAGGCTTGGATGCCGGGACTGGAAAAGTGGGGAGAGATCTCCTCGTGCTCCAGCTGCACCGACTACCAGGTGCGCTGGTATGCAGTCAACTTACGGCATGGAACCTGACCTCCCGATGCATGCATGTGGTGCTTGCAGTCTCCAAGATCTTGAGGCACAGGTACTTCAAGAGAAGCGCATGCGCCCAATTTTGTAGACCCTCTGCGGAGGCTTCCATGCACCATTGTCTCCAGAACGACCGCATGCTACACTGCGCTCTATGCTTCCATTATGTTATATGTCGATGACTCCGAAATTTTGCCTAGCGATCCCCTTGCGATAACTCAGCCTGGATCAGTCGTATATTACATTATGGTATTTTACAGCATATCAGGCGTGCCAAGAGTGTCGTGCAGGCCCGGCGGCTGAACATTCGGCACAAAGAGGAGTACAACCAGAAGGCGCAGCAGAAGGGCTGCCGCTATCGAGCTTAACAACCCCGAAAGCTTGAACACTGAGACAAAAAAGCCTTGAATAACTATTCTAAATCCTAAACCGTAACCCCTAAACCGAGAGTGATCGCCGAAACCTGGCATCACAGGGAAACCTACAGTTTGCCCACACGCTCAACGGAACGGCGTGCGCCGTTCCCCGAATGATCATCTCGATTCTGGAGACGTTTCAGAACGAGGACCGGGTTTCAGGTAAAGGGGCCATATCACAAGGTTTAGGTCTTTGGGTTTAGGCTTAGGGTTCCGGGTTCGGAGTTAGATTTCAGGGCTCAGGTTGTTTCATGGGCAGTTCTCTAGATTAGGGTCCCTTTTGGGAGGGTCCTTTTTATAAGGGTGCCGTACTACATTGGGAACCTAAAAAGGGACCCTAATTAGAGAACTACCCACATACACCATGTCAGTGAGGACGGCTCTGTGACAATTCCAGAAGTCCTCCGGCCGTACATGATGGGAATGGAGGCGCCGGACCGCTTTCTTCCGTGGCAACTTGACATACTTGGGGGTTTCCGAAAACAGGGGACCCTAATATAGCACCTAAACAGTAGGAATCTTATTATAAGGACCCCAAAATAGGCTACCCTAATTTTCGGAAACTCCCACTTGATGGAAGGAACATGTCACGAAGCGATACGGTAGATAGGGGAGAAAATGTCCTCAACAGTCATAATCGCTCCAATGTTTTTTGAGAGAAGCATGCCGGCCGCTGGCATCCGCGGCCTGAGTTCCCGGTGCACCGCTGCAGTTTAGACTTCGCACACTGAGCTCAATCAATGGCTCCCCGATGCAGCTTTTTCTTTTCCGAGCAGGTGCTGAAGCCACCGGAGTGAGCCAAGTATGGCAATGCCGCCTGCATTCTGGAAACTGTGACTGACTGAGTTGATGTTCAGGGTTGGAGGGTTTCGGGGCTCTCGAGTCATAGGCTTCCGGGCTACGACTCTGAACAGAAGTTTGTTGCAAGCATGGGCTCGACAGACGTTCTGGCAGACAGTTTTGCCATCGGCTGGCCTCCTGCTCCGCTCTGCGGAGTTTTCGCCATTGGCCGAGCAATTATTGATTTAAGCTATAAGCATTTGGGCGGAGAGACCACTGGCAGCTACCAGTAACATCCCGAGCTATCGCTTGAATCTTAATGTTACTACCGGTGCGAAGAAGTTTAAAAAACTCGACGCCTTTGTCGAGCGGCATGGAGTCCTATAGAGTCAGATAGTTCTTTAGAAAAGCTGATTCGGATTTGGGTTCATCGGTGTAGGGGCTCAGCGCGGGGGGCCGAGGGTGGTTGAAGTGGATTGATGGGTAGAGCATGGTAAAGCCCTATGAGACCGTACATAAACCTCACATCTGTAACCGAAAACCATTGCAGACAAGGCACTGAAGGCTGTTGATTCAAAAACAGTGGGAAGGGAAGGCAGGTGGGGCTCAAGACCTTCATGGCACCCAATGCTGTTTTGCAGGGGCCTCTGCCCAACATACCCTGGCCAAAGACAGCCATCTCAGCTCAGGAAGATCTGGCTTAAGCCTCAAAGTCGGTTTCACAGGTTTTATTGCTTGCGTAGGCTTGGGTGATGCACTGCGGTTTGGGGCAAATGCTTTGCGTAGGCTTTGGGATTGGGTGGAGGGCGTAATCCACCCAAACCATAAGCACCGAATAAGCCCTTGATGACGTCAGAGTCCATCTGCAACGTGAGCTGAATCAGACACAATTTCGTGCCGCACCGTGCGCTACTCACAGGGCATGCCTGTGATTGCTCCATTTCACAACCGGCTTGGACTCCAGGTACTGACTGGCGAGACAATTTTCATCGCAATGGCTTCAGAAAACTCTGCTCCTGCTGTTCGCAATTTGAAGCTGCGTGCGCGGTCAGGGTTCGTCCGACTGATTCCGGAAGAGGCCTAGCCACAAGGGCCTGAACACCTAAGGGTGCAAATCCCAGTACCCCGAAAGCCAAGAACCTCGCAGCAGTAAAGAGTCTTATCACAGTCAACACTACGGCAGTACTAGTACTAGTAGTACTAGCACCAGTACTACTACGTACGACTGCTGCTGCTACTACTACGACGACGACTACTACTCCACCTACTTTCACGACTACGACGAAGACGACGACGACGACTGCTGCTGCTGCTGCTGCTGCTGTTGCTGCTATTGCTGCTACTATTACCACTACTACACCACTCCCGCTGCTGCTGCTGCTACTACGACGACGACTACTACTACAACTACTACCACCACCAACGAGGCCTCTCGTCATGGAGCCTTGCTCCGGCTTCTACTGGGATCCGGTGCTGGTGCTCGACTTCAAAGGTGCCCCTGTTGAGGGAAGGATGCTGAGGGGCTCAAACCCGAACCGATTGAAGGCTTTCCGTTTGTGTTTTGTGACGCCATATTCAAGCACCAAGAGCACCACCCATCAGCAAATTCCGAGTGTGGCAAGAGTTCGAGGAGAAATGAGTAGTCATCCCGAACTCAGTTGGCTCCTGAGAGATATGAGGTCAAGGGCCCCGGCCATGGATTGTTCGCATCAGGCGACTCAGGATGCCTCTCTGCCCACGTTCTAGGTTGATTTAGGGACTGTTGCTACGTTGACTCTTTCCGGTCCACCTTAAATCTGTACCTTACAGCCCTATCCTAGACTTCCAGAGTCGAGACCCAGAATCGACGTGACCAAGCCAAGCCAAGTCCTACACATGTGCCGGTTGCCACGCCCATCCCATTCTAGAGAAAGTTTCCGTCTCAATACGTAGTTTCCCCCCGGTTGACGAGTAATGTGAGAGGCATGTACCCTTCCCTCATTGCGCGGTGCTGAGCTTCTTAGCCTTGGGGCACAGGAAGACGACACGAATATAAAGATCGCACAGTGAAGGTTTTCTTCTTGAAGCCCCTATCAGGGCCCGTATGCGGGATCCTAGTATTCATGTACTCTTCGGGTTCCTTTCCTGTGAGGCTTCATGTGAGCATGCCACATGCAGCTCAGCTTCAGTGCTCGGGATCCTGCAAGCAAATCTGGAGTTGTTTATCTCTCTACCCTTATATACAAAGCCCATTCGTCTGCATGCTAGCCTCTCCGTGCCGTCCCGGTTGTGTGTATACGTAGCATAGCTCTCCGTTTCGGCACTCCTGTGCCAATGTGGAGGCAAGTTTGGCGCCTTCGCATGCTTAGCCGACTTGGACAGGCAGCATGAGGTGTAGTGTAGTGCCAGTGATCGGGTGGCATCTGAGAGGTTTTCCTGAGGATAAGAGCTGTTCTGATGTTTGAGGTCTATGCTCGTCGACTTTGGGGCTTGAACGCACTAGCCGGCCCACCGCCCGGTATTAGTATTCCGATTGTCGGAGAACAAGAGCCTGAAAAGGCATACCAGACAGACTCGAAACCCGAAACCCCTTTGCGGGGTGCTTTTCCGGAATCCTCCCGAGCTGCGGCCGCAGTGCTCGCGCGCCGAGGTGGCTCACAACATCTCCTTCGACACCTGCCTGGGTCATTTCAGGCCACTTGGATCACGAGCCTACGGGGCTTTATGGAGTTTTGGGAGGTTGAAGGTCTCTGAATGATAGCGGTTCATACAAAAACTTGTCTGAAGGGTTGCATGGGCCGAGGGTTGTCCACACGGCTCCTGTTGTTTGAAGTGGAGTATGTTCAGTAGCAGCACCCCGCAGCATCCGGGGCTTGAAATCCGGAACGCCTGGTCCGAAGTAAGAGTAGCAGTCGTGGTGGTCGGGGCCGTCGCTGTGTTCGCTGCGGTCGTCTCGCGGTCGGTGCTATACTACTATCTGGTAGTGGTCTAGTTATGGCAGTGGTACTGGTAGTTGTGGCAGCAATGCGTCGTAGTAGTTACCCAGAGACTCCAATATTCCTTAATTACGGAATATTCCTTAAATTATAGTAGGATCCTTATTATGATTTAAGGTATATTCCTTAATTAAGGGATATTGGAGCCTCTGGGTAATTAAATTAGCTGTGGTCGAAGCCAGCAGCCAGGCGCACGTTACCCGGGCCCCGCTGCCAGATGGGAGCATTCAGCCTCGGATTGGGATGTCGGAGGATATGACAGCTCGAATGGAAGCACCTATCGAAAGTGCCCCTGGCCATACTTACCGAGGTTCGTACCGGCTCCTGGCCGCTGGGTGCCGGCGGTGCCGCCAGCGCAGTGGGGTTCTCGGGGATGCGGGCCTGGGAAGTGGGACATTCAGTCCAGTTCCTCCTTTCGTCACTTCGTGAGGGGGTAGAACCGGCACAGAAGACATATGACTTATGATAATGCATATAAAGACAGCAGCACATGCAGACATCTACTACTACTACGTATGTGCATTGCCGCAAAAGGTTGTAGGGTAAGCTTGCCTCTGGACTTCAGGGCTTTGGAGCTTCACGAGCCCTTCTGGAATCTTGAGGCTAGTTTGACGGTTGAAAGTTCCGGTAGCATCTTGCGCAAAGCGTCAGGCACACATGTTACGTGTGTACGTGGTCTGAGATTTGTCAAGTTCCCCGTCAATGCGTCCTTGAATTGTTGGGCCATTCCCGCCGAGGCTGCCTTTGAGAGCCAGAGCCTTACCCGCCGGCTGCGGGATTCCTTCAGGGCTCTGGATTGGAGGTTCATCGTCTGGCGTTTCATATTAAGGTCCAAGACTACAGCTTAGGTTTCAGGGCTCGAGGATTGAGGTTTCCGGCATTATTTGGGAGCAGAGTTACGGCTCTCATCTGATGATACTTAGGTTGAAGGCGTGGGCGGTCCCCCTCACTTCCGAAGCTGTTTATAGTGCCGCCTAGAAAGGTTAGAAGTGTGGCTACGCTAAGCCGGCGGGTGAGTTGTGGCCCTAAACCCTACAATACACTTCTTCTAGTGACGTTTAGAAAACCCAAATGTCATTATGAAATTTAAGTTGCATTCGCGTCTTCCCAGAAGCGGCCAGCGGCAGGCTCGGTCCTCGAAGAGCCCAGCAGCGACTCGCCCGACTGATGCTCAGGAATGGGGGAGGGGCGTTCTCGGGATTCCTGCATGGGTTTCCATACGGGTTCTTTGACTGGTTCCTGTAAGGGTACCAGAATCCGTCCTATGAGGGTTGTTGTAAGGTTAGGCTTCCTGGCTGAGGGTTGCAGGGTTCTTGGGCTGAGGGGTTTTGAGGAAAAACTTTCGTTTTAGGGGTTTGGGGGCTTAGGGCTTCAAGGTTTTTAGGGGTTCTGGT